CTTCTTCTTCTTCTTCTTCTTCTTCTTCTTCTTCATTTATTTGGTTAGAACTCAAGACTACAAGTTAGCTGCTCCATAATCACTTGTCTTAAGCAGCTGCCTAATTTTTTTCTAATATGTCTAAGCTCATATTTTGGGATTTTAATTTAATGATTACTCTGAGACGGTGTACTTCATATTGTAGTTGGCAACTCTGTTGGCCTCTTTTCAATGTTTCACATTTAATTTCCTATAACTATCTTAATTTCCTGTTCCATCTTCCCTGGTCATGGGAAGACAATCTAGACCTGTTATTAAGTATATATTCAGCAGTCTTTCAAAAGACCAGTAAATCTGATGGTAAAGAAAGGGCTGCCAGCTGATTTAAACTGGGAAAGAAATGTGTCTCTAGTCCTGTCCCAAATAAGCACATTACAGATTTTCTGCTGCTTCTGCTAATGCATTTATTTGGGACAAAACCAGAGACATATTTCTTTCTCAATTTAAATCAAATGGCAATTTTGCCTACTCCAATGCCATGTGGTACAGTCTAATGGGGAGATGCTGCCAACTGTAACCACTTTCCAATTTGGGATATTTAAGAGTTGAGTGAATGAAACCCTGCACATTTGGTCAGGTTCTGGGCGCTGAATTAGGGCTGCTTGTTTCCAGCAGATTCCGCACTTGAACACGGAGCAGATAATATCTGAGGGATCAAAGGTCTGCATAAGTCTATCCAGTGCTGTGACAATGTCACTGGAAGGGGTATAACTGAACTTTTGGCCCATTTTTGGCTCTTGGGGAGGTGGGTAGGGTTTGGGATGAGAGTGGGAGATCCCTAAGAGACAAAAGTTCAGGCCCAAAACACATAAATGAAATTTGGCCAATTTGCCATTGGATTTTGGCAGTCAGTGTCAGAATTTTCTGGGGGGCAGAAAACCTAGAGGTTGCCTCCACCTGCTTTAAAAGCTAAATGTAAGGCTGGCATGATATGGTCCTCTCCAAGTGGGGAATAGCTATATTGATTGCATGCGGCTGGTGTAGATGAATGAGAATTTACCTTAGTTTGTTTTGCTAAAAGGTTGCCAAAATTCTACACATTTCTCTAAAACTAGGACAAGAACATTTTTTTAAACTTCAAATGTGAGAAAATGCAAAATAAAAGTAATATTTAACCATGAATTAAGCTCTTGTAAATGTACATTTTGGACTGGACACCATTATATCTAAATGACCAAGACAGCAGATGTCGACTCAAACCTTTTTAAATTTCATGCCTTCCTCTTAAATATGTCCATGAACATAGAAGAACATCCAGGAAGGTAATCAATAATAGTTATCAACTACTATTTTAACATATTGTTTTTCCAACCTTTTCCCCACCCCTAAGGACAAAGTGCTTCCCAGTATGGAGTGGTGGATTCTGGGAATTTGCTGCAATGCCATCCCTGTCGGGAAGGATGCACTGCCTGCATTGATGGCACACCATGTCTGATCCAGGAAGACTGGTCTCTACGGGCTGCTGTTCTTACTTTCCAGGCCTTCTGCATGCTGGCAGTTTTCTTCAGCATGTTAATTTCTTACCACTATAGGAAGAGCAAGGTACGGGCAACAGTGAGCAGTAGAACACAAACTGGGTTTATAAAATGGTGGTCCTGCTCTCCTACTTGCCATCATTTTTTGCATATGTTGAAAATTTGCACCACCTTAGACTCACCAACTTTGGTTTCAATGAGTTGCACCCCCATTTCACATTCATTTCTCTTTTCCTAGAGGATTCGGGCTTCAGGAGTTATTCTTCTGGAGACAATACTCTTTGGCTCACTCCTGCTCTATTTTCCTGTGAGTATCTGGATGGGACCCAAAGGGGTTCAGTTGTCTGAGGTATATCAACAGTACTGGACCACCAGGAAAACTGAGTATGACTTGATTTTCTACCTCAGTGGAGGTCTGGAAAAGAAAACTGGTTTTCAGTGCCCTGGCTCACAGCAAGGAGGGTGGAAAAGGGGCTGAACAAGCAGTTTAGCCTGATCTGTTGACATACTGGCCAAAAGAAGACATGTTGAGTAAGCTGAGTCAAAGGATGTGTGTTTGAAATGGCAGCCTCTGAAGGTAGAGCAGGAGGCACATGAAAGGAAAACTGAAGTCCAAGGAAAAAGGGAAGCTGAATAAGATTGGGCAGCATTTTGGAGCAGTCTAAAAAAGACTGCAGAAACTACTGGACTTCACAAACTACATTTTTAGTATAGGTATGTGGTGCCAACTAAGAGCCAGTTTGGTGTAGTGGCTAAGGCACTGGGCTTGAAACCAGGAGACTGTGAGTTCCAGTCCTGCCTTAGGTGGAAAGCTAGCAGGGTGATCTTGGGACAGTCACTTCTCTCAGCCCTAGGAAGGAGGCAATGGCAAACCACTTCTGAAAAATCTTGCAAAGAAAACTGCAGGGATTAGTCCAGGAGGCACCAATGACTTGAAGCCCCCCCCCCCCGCAACACACACAAATGAGGTGCATAACCATAACATATAAGTAGGACAAGGACAAAGTTATTTAATTTCTGCTCCAAATTAAAATTAAAATATGGAGTTTGCTGAGCTGATATAAATTAGGCAAATATAACAGATTTGCATATATATCCTTCATATGCATATTTCATTTTCATCCTTGATGTCCTGGAGAGAGGCCAAATGCTAAGCAGGGGCCCAAAATTTTACTTGATCACAGGAAATCCTGGTCTGGCTTCTCTCCCTTCCAGAAATTCAGGTATTGCCAACTTACTTTTGGTCCTATTTTTGTAGCTTTCACATCTAGAAACTTGAGGAGGTTCTTTAAATGAATAAAGTCAGACCCTCAAAGGGTAGGATTCTGTTCCTTTGGCCAATTTCTGCAATTCATGGAAAATACAAATATACTCTTATGATGACTATAAACTATGAAAAAAGCAAACCTTAATGTTCATAAACATTATGCTTATGAAAAAAAAACAATGGGGATTATCAGAATAATCTGCTTTGCGTGCTAGGTCCTGGGACATCTGGCTAGTCAACAGCTCAAGGACAGAAAGCTGAGTTTTGAGGCTCGATTCATACATTACATTAGTCTAGTTTATAGTGCAAACCCAGAGAATTCAATTAAATCAATCAAACATGGTCAGTTAACTTAGAGACAGCGTATTGGGCAAAGGCAGTGTGATTCAGACCCAAGACTGAATTTAAGCTTCTCTTTTCTTCCCTTCCCCAATTCATTTGGCCCCTCTGTGCATGAAGCTGTAGAATCACATACGTGAGGTGGATGGCTATATAAATTTAATAAATAAATCAGTAAATACAGCCTCCATTCCTCCTCCTGGCAGCCTTCCCAAGGGCCTTGAACTGTACAATGTGCTAATTCTAACTTTCTTATATTTGACCTGGGATTCCTTGGCAAGGGCTACTAGGATATATCATCGATGTAAACGTTGGATTCACCAATACATAAACAGAATTGCTGAGGGCAATTTCCAGTTTCTGTAATCGTGGCTTCTGATGAATGACTGGATGGAAAAGCATACGGACCTTTGTCTGTATGCATGCACACAATACCTTTTTGAGGAAAGAAACCTGGTCTACGCATCACCTTTTTTGCCTTTCCTTCTCATGCAGGTCTTTATCTTGTACTTCAAGCCAAGTATCTTTCGCTGCATTGTCCTGCGATGGGTGCGCGTGCTGGGTTTTGCCATTGTTTATGGAACAATCACTCTTAAACTATATAGGTGAGACTATTTCATGAAGTTGGATGAAACAGAGGGATTGAACCTTGGACTTATTTTCTTAAGTCTCTGATTAGAATGAATACTGGCAGCTGAATCCCTCTTTTATTCAATCCCTCTAAATCCAGTGATCCATTTAATCCAGTACACTGGCCCCACGTTGCTCAGAGAAGTGCCAGAAAACCTCCTCAGATAAATTATATTATATACTTACCCTGATTTGATACCATTTTAACTGTCTTGTCTTTCCCAGGGCCTCCTGGCAATTGTAATTTCCTGTGAAGAAGTCATCATTATTAAGTCAATTAAAAAAATGCATATAAATCCCAATCAGGACCCATTTTTTTCTTCTGTGTCCTGAGCCCAATTTTTTTCTCTCAAGCTTTGCAAACCTTCTGAATGATATGAAGTTGAATGTTGGTTTAATACTCACAGTTTTTAAGTATCTGAAGCTTTTAAACATGAAATGTCCATCATTTATTTACTGCAATTTTTAGTCTTTTTCTGCAAAATCTGTTTACTTCAATTTTCTTTATTAATATGCTTTTCCACGAGAAAGATTCACAGTGGTCTCTACATTAATCAAAAGACTATTAAAAAAAAGAAGAGCCAAAATTAAAGAACAGTTAGTGGGCGAGAGAAAAGGGGGGAAAAATGCTCTATTAATTGTTAACATTCAAAGGCAACCCTGCAGTAACTAAACCAACCACCAGTAGCAATGTATTGCTGAAACTATTTAGAGACGCTTAACTGCATAAGTCCCCCAATTCTTTCATGTACCTGAACACAGTAAATCATTCTTGGCTCCTTTGGCAAAGAAACAATGAAAATGGTTATCTTCTTCGTGGTCAGGTCACTTTTATTTTCCTGTCCCACAGGGTGTTAAAGGTCTTTCTGTCTCACACGGCTCAGCGAGTCCCTTACATGACCAGTGGGCAAGTGCTGAAGAAACTGGCATCGATCCTGCTGTTGGTCTTTTGGTTTTTGGCCGCATGGACAGTGGGGATGCTGGAGAATATAGAGAAAAACATACCGCTGGTAATCCGTTCACAGACCCCCAGGGGCCTCCAGTTTTACATCTGTGATCAGGATCGATGGGATTACATGATGGCTGTGGGTGAGGACCAGAACCTCTCACCTCCCAATCTGGTGCTTTGCCATGTCACAGGAAAGGGGAAAGATGGGGCTTTGATCGCATGGTTGCAGCTGCCATCTGGTTGTTCTACATCCTTAAACCTGGTTTTTACATTGCACTGTCTCTATTGCATATTTTTCTTTTCTTCATCCTTACAGCCTCAGTCTTCCCCTTTCCTAAACTCATCACCCATTGATTCTGGCACTTACTTCTACTTCTCAGAACAAGCACTCTGCCAAACTTTACTACTAACTCTGATGTCATTGTTCTTTCCTAAATATTCTCTCAACCTTGAATAATTATTCTCTTCCATCTTTCCACATTTACCCTATCTGTTCCATTCCTTTCTTTCCCTTCCATCCTCCATAATGCCTGCTTTGTTTTCAACATTTCGTTTCTATTATTTCTATTAATACAAGAAAGTAGCAATACATATCCTCAGCTTTGAGTTGCCACCAAGATGATTATGAGTAGGTATGAGATTGCAAACATTAGCAGAAGAACAGAAGAATTTGTTCATGCTTCAGTGGAATAGAATTTGCCAGTAACTATTTAAACTTGTTCTAGTATATGAAACTCCATATGATACATTAAATGGGAGTATTGTACCTCTGGATATGCAACCAAGTGTTCCTTCTCAGAACTTTGTCAAGCTCCAACCATTTGAGGTCAGAAATGAGTCAGCTAATGGAATGAGGGGAAATGGCTTCCAACCAGGTTTTGAATATGATTCCACCTCCCTCCCTCCCTCCCTCCCTCCCTTTTTCTCTTTCTTTCTTTCTTTCTTTCTTTCTTTCTTTCTTTCTTTCTTTCTTTCTTTCTTTCTTTTCTTTCTTTCTTTCT